GCATACAAAGAAACAGGAAAGGGTGCTCCGTTCAAGAGAACAAAACAAACAAATAGAAATTGTCCCCATGGAATCCCAGATAATGTACCTAATAGACAAAAACTCTAAAATAACATTATTAAATATACTCAAACAGCTAAAGGAAAATGGACAAATAACTAAAGGAAACCAGGAAAATAATACATGGAATAAATGAGAATATCAATAAATAGAAATTATAAAAAGGAACTGAAAAGAAATATTGGAGCTGAAAAGTACAATAATGGAAATGAAGTCACTGGAGGGGTTCATCAGAAGATTTAAGCTGCCAGAAGAAAGAATCAGCAAATTTAAAGATGTTGTTGTTGTGTGCTGTTGAGTTGATTTCAACTCACAGCAACTCTATAGAACAGAATAGAACTGCCCCATAGGGTTGTCTACACTGTATTCTTTACAGAAGCCAACTACCACATCTTTATCCTGCTGGTGGGTTTGAACCGTCAAACTTTTGGGTAGCAGACAAGACCTAACCATTGCACCACCAGCACTCCTTTTAAAATTGAAGGTAGGACATTTGAAATTATTGGGTCTGAGGAAATTATTGGGTCTGAGGAGTAAAAAAAAAAGAATGAAAGAGAGTGAACAGAGCCTAAGGGACTTGTAGGACATTGGAGTCCCAGTAGAAGAAGAGAAAAGAAAGGGGCAGAAAAATATTTACATAAATAATGGCAAAACACCCTAAATATGACAAAAGACATTAATCTATGCATCTAATGTATTCAAAAAACTCCAAGTAGAATAAACACAAAAAGGTCCACAGCAATACACTTTATAGTCACTCTCAAAAAACACAGAGAATCTTGAAAGCAGCAGGAGAGAAGATAATTATCACACACATATCCTCAAAGATTAAGCACTGATTTCTCCTCAGAAACCATGCAGGACCAAAAGACAAAGGGATGAAATATTTAAAGTGCTGAAAGAAAAGCTCTGTCAACCAAGGATTTTATATCTAACAAAACTGTCATTCAAAAGTGAGGGCAAAATTAAGACATTGCCAGGTAAACAAAAGCTGAGGGAGTTTGATACCACTAAATCTACCCTACAGGAAATGCTAAAAGGAGTCCTTCAGGTTGAAATGAAATAACAGTAGACCATAACTCAAAGCCATGTGGGTATTTAATTTCTTTGTATTTAATGGGTAAGTACAAAGAAAGCTTTATTGTGTTTCTGGTTTGTAACTCTACTTGATATGTCCTACATGATTTAAAGACAAACACATAAAAATAAGTATAAATTTATGTCACCGGGAACAAAATGTATAAAGATATAATTTGTGATGAAAACTACATAAAGGGTGGGATGGTGTAGTATAGGAACAGGGTTTTGTATGTTATTGAAGCTAGGCTGGTATCAGTTTAAACTAGGTTGTTATAAATTTAGGTTTAATTTTTATTAAAGCTAATAATAATGTTTGTTAAATGTAATCCTCATGGTAACCACAAAGAAAATATCTTTTAAAAAAATACACAAAATAATAGGATAAGAGAATCAAAATGATTTACTAAAAAAAAAAAAAAAAATAAAAAAAAAAAAAAAAAAAATCAACCAAATACAAAAAAGCAGCATGGAGGATATGAGGCACAAAAAAATGCAGAGAAAATATACAGCAAAATGAATGAAATAAGTCCTTTCCTATTCTTATATTTTAAATATAAATAAACTCTCCAATCAAAAGGCAGAGGTTGGCAAAACAGATAAGAAAACATGATCCAACTATATGCTGTCTACAAGAGATACATCTCAGGCTCAAAGACACAAATAGGTTGTGAGTGAAAGGAGGAAAAAATATTCCATGCAAATAGTAACCAAAAGAAAGCTAAGGAATATTAATATCAGACAAAATAGACTTTAAGCCAAAAATCTTTTATGAGAGACAAAGAAGGACATTATATAATGATAAAAGGGTCAATTCCTAAAGAAGATATAAAATATATATGCACTGAAGCAGAGAGCCCCAAAATATATAAAGCAAACATTGACAGAATTGAGATTTAAAAAAAGCTCTACATTAGTAGTTGGAGACTTGAATACACCACTGTCAACAGTTGTTAAAACATATAGACAGGAGATCAATAAAGATATAGAACTCAAACAGCACTTTAAACAAACTAAGCCTAGCAGACATATACAGAAGACTCCACCTACAACAGCAGAATACATATTCTTCTCCAGCACGCATGGATCATTCTACAAGGTAGACCATATGTTAGGTCACACAACAAATGTCAGTAATTTTAAAAAGATTGAAATCATACAAGATATTTTCTCTAACCACAGTGGAATGCAACTAGAAATCAATAACAGAAGGAAAACTGAAAAATTCACAAATGTGCGGAAATTAAACAATACACTATTAAGCAGCCAATGGGTCAAAGAAGAAATCAAAATGGAAATTGGAAAATACTTAGAGATGAATGAAAATGAAAGTAAAACATACAAAAACTTATGGAATGCAGTTAAGGTAGTGCTCAGAGGGAAATTTACAGCTGTAAATACCAACATAAAAAAGAAGAAAGATCTCAAATCTATAACCTAACTTTACATATTGAGGAACTAGGAAAAGAAGAACAAACTAAGCCCAAAGCTAGCAGACATAAGGAAATAACAAAGATTGGAGCAAAGATAAATGGAATAGAGAATAGAAAAACAATAGAGAGAATCAATAAAACCAAAATTTACTTATCTGGAAACATCAATAAAATTGAAAAACCTTTGGCTAGTCTGACAAAGAAAAGAAAACCAAACACCAAACCATTGCAAGGTAAGACACAAATACCTAAAATCAGAAATGTATGAGGGGACATTACTACTAATCAAAGAAAAATTCAAAAGATTATAATACTATGAACAATTGAATGCCAACAAATTAGATAATCTAGATGAAAGGGACTGATTTCTAGAAAAACACAAATTACCTAAATTTGTTCAAGAAAAGATAAACGATCTCAAAAGACCAATAACAAGTGAAGATATTCAATCAGTAGTCAAAAACATCCCAACAAAGAAAAATCCAGGACCAGAAGGCTTCACTGGTGAATTCTACCAAACATTTAAAGACAAATTAACACAAGTTCTTTTCAAACTTTTCCAAAAATAGAAGAGGAGAAAACACTTTATAACGCATTCTATGAGGGCAGCATTACCCTGATACCAAAGCCAGATAAAAACACTAGAAAAGAAAACTACATACGAATATCCCTTATGAATATAGATGCATAATTCCTGAAAAAATACTAGCAAACCAAATATAACAGCTTATTAAAACGATTATACACCATGACCAAATAGGATTTATCTCAGGAAAGCAAAGGTGGTTTAACATAAGAAAAGTAATCAAGGTAATACACCACCTTAATAGAAAGAAGGAAAAAAAAACATGATCATCTCAGTTGATGCATAAAAGACATTTGACAAAACACAACACACTTTCATGATAAAAAAAACAATCAACAAACCAGGAATAAAAGAGGAGTTCCTCAGCATGATAATGGACATTTATGAAAAATACACAGTTAACATACTCACTGGTAAAGCTTTCCCATAAGATCAGGTACAAGACAAAGATGCCCACTTTCACCGCTGCTATTCAACATTGTACTGTTAAGTTCTAACCAGAGCAATTAGGCATAAGAAAGAAAGAAAAAGAAATTTAAAAAATTCAAACTGGCAAGTAAGAAGTGAAACTCTCTTTTTTCTGTTTGCAGATGACCTGATCCCATATATAGGAAATAACAAAAAAAAAAAAAAAAAAAAAAAAAAAAAAAAAAAAACACAGGAAAGCTATTAAAGCTAATAAATGAGTTAAGCAAATTTTCAGGGTACAAAATTGACATGCAAAAATCAGTTGTACTTCTATACAACAGCAATGAATGATGTGAAAAGGAAATTAAGAAAACAATTCCACTTATAATAGCATCCAAAAGCATAAAATACATAAGAATAAATTTAACCAGGGAGATGAAAGACTTGTACACTGAAAACTATAAAACATTGCTGAAAGAAATTAAAGGAGACCTAAATAAATGGAAAGAGATCCCTTGTTCATGGATGGAATATTTAATATTGTTAAGATGTCAAAGCTACCCTAAGTGATCTACAGATTCAATGTAATTTCTATAAAAATTGTAATAGCCTGTTTTGCATAAATGGAAAAACCAAACCTTAAATTCATATAGAATTACAAAGGGCTTCAAATGGCCAAAATACTCGTGAAAAAGAATAAGAGGGTAGGAGAATTCACATTTCCCAATTTTAAAACATACTACAAAGTTACTGTAATCAAAATAGTGTGGCAATGGCACAGGGATAGATATATAGACCAATGGAATAAAACTGAGAGTCCAGAAATAAGCCCATACATCCATGATCCATTGAATTTCGACAAGGGTACTCACCAAGTCCTTTCAATGGAGAAAGAATAATGTTTTCATTAAATGGTGCTTGAACAACTGGGTATTCACATGCAGAAGAATGAAGTTGGACACTTACCTTACATTATATATGAAATTTAACTAAAAATGATTAATATCCTAAATATAAGGGCTAAAACCATAAAATTCTTAGAAGAAAGCAAACAGATAAAATTCAGGACTTTGCATTTGGCAATAGATTCTTAGACATGACACTAAAATCACAAGCCACAAAAGAAAAAATAGATAAACTGGACACAAAACTGAAAACTTTTGTGCATCAAAGGAACTTATCAAAAAAGAAAGAAAACTTACAAAATGGTAGAAAATATTTTGAAACCATATATCTGATAAGGGTTTAATATCCAGAATATATAAAGAACTACTAAACTAAATAGTCAAAAGGTGGTAACAACTAACATGTCCATCAACAGGTGAATGGATAAACAAAATGGCATATATTTACAATGCAATATTATTCAGCCATAAAGAGAAATGAAGTTCTGATACATGCTATGACATGGATGAACCTTGAAAACACTATGCTAGATCCTTTTTTGGTTCGTAAGTGTGGGTTTTCATACTTTTGTGTGGCATGTGCCTCCCTCAAATCTTGTTCTGACGTCGGCACATTACATGTCTGACGTAAAACAAACAAACAAAAAAAAAAAAAACTATGCTTAGTGAAAAAAGAAAGACACAAAAGGACAAACATTATATGATCCTACTTACATGAAATATCTAGAATAGGTAAATGCATAGAGACAGAAAGTAGAGTAGTGGTTACCATGAGCTGGGTGAAGGGGGAAATGGAGAGTTATTGCTTAATTGGTACAGTTTCTGTCTGGGGTGATTAAGAAGTTTGGGAAACAAACAGTAGTGATGTACAACATTGTGGATATAATTAATGTCACTGAATTATACACTTGAAAATGTTTAAAATGGCAGTTTTATTTTATATATAGTTTACCACAAAAAAAAAAAATTAGGTTCCTATACATTAATTATTCCAAGAGATTTGGGTAGAAAATCATATGGCACACAGAGAACAATCTAAGACACAATTTCCAAGTAGAAACAAAATATCATCAGGGATTTATTGGTTCTTACTAGAATTAAATTAAATTTCCCCAGATTTGCTCTTTAATTTGCTTATTTTGTTTGTTTGACTAACGAATTGAGCACCTGTTAAGTGACAGAAACAAACAAACAAACAAAAAAAAAACCCATTGCTTGGAGTCAATTCCAACTCATGGTGACCCTATAGGACAGAGTATAGCTGCCCCATAGGGTTTCCAAGGAGCAGCTGGTGGATTCGAACTGCTTACCTTTTCATTAGCAGCCAAATGCTTAACCACTGGGCCACCAGGACTGAACTAAATGTTGAGGACTTAGAGAAGAATTAATAGTTATATCTCAAGTGACTTCTGTTCTATTCCCATAAAGGAGGCACTGGTTTTGAATAATGCAAAATACTTATCACAGGGTAATTTAAATCCTATATCCCAGGAATGCTTCTTAGAAGCAAGGATGGCGAGAGTAGTCTCACATACTTTGGACGTGTCGTCAGGAAGGATCAGTCCCTGGAGAAGGACATCATGCTTGGTAAAGCAGAGGGTGAGGAAAAAAGAGGAAGATCCTCAATGAGATGCATTGACACAGTGGCTGCAACAATGGGCTTAAGCACAGCAACGATTGTGAGGATGGCACAGGACTGAGCAGTGTTTCGTTATGTTGTACCTAGGGTCGCTATGAGTCGGAACCGACTGGATGGCACCTAACAACAACAACAATATCCCAGGAATAGAAGCAAGGAAGCAATATTTCTTGTAAAGAATGGAAATAGGAATATGGCAAGAAATCTTGGGGAATTTAATCAATATGTCGAACCAGCGTTAGCTTGTCTAATGTGGGTTAGGAGGATAAAGACAAGTATCACGTTCAAATCTCATTCTAGGCATTTACCATAATTTTACACAAATAATGCATGCCTTCTACGTTTGTTTGCCAACCGCGACCTCCCCCTGTGAGGTATTTTCATAAGTGAACTATGCTAATGTTTTTACAACATGTAAAAAAAAATGGCTTAGCGGCGCTTACGGAAATACCTCGCTGGGAGGGGGGTGGAGGAAGGGCATGGTTGGCACACAAATGTAGAAGGTGTGTGTTATTTGCATAAAAATACAGTAGTTCTTGTAAAAATTCTGTGTAAGAAAATAAATCATGACATCTGACTGGTTCATATCTGTCTTTTTTGCTCATCTTCTTCAAAATGCTAAATTCAATGAAAATTGTCAAAACAGATACACACAAGAGAAGTGGGCAAACTCCTAATGTGAAGTTAGCTCCAGAGTCAATGGGAAGTTGTACTTTAGGAAAGTTTCTTCCTGGGCAGCTTTGATAATAGTTTTTCACTGCTCTTCTGGAATATAATTCCTTTCTTTATTTCCAATATTATTTCAAGTCACTGATTGTAGTAGTAATAAGGTACAATCTGAAAGGAGTGGAAGAGAGTTGCAGATGTGGAAAGGCTAGAGGGAAAAAAGAAGAAAAATAATCACCATTTATTGACATTAGCTGCTCCTTGGAAACCCTTTGGGGCAGTTCTACTCTGTCCTATAGCGTCGCTATGACTCAGAATTGACTCGATGGCAATGAGTTTGGTTTTTTTGCTTTTATGTTCCTAGCTATATTAGTTTGGACTCTTTGATACAAGTACTCAAGTACAATGTCAGCTAGCTTAATATAAAAGGAAATATTACCATTCATCCCAAGGCCATTCACCAGGTATAAATTGGTCTACTCAAGAAGGCAGCTTTCACTTCCTGGGAAGAAATAATGCACTACCTAGATAATTCATGAGCTCAAATTAATTTCCCTAACAAGCCTGCTTCATCTGGAACATTGCATTGCTGAGCATCAGAAGGTCCGCATGGGTAAAGAGAATTGTTTGTGATGAGAAGAATCTTTGGAAACTAAGGCTCAGAAAGGTAAAGTGATTTCTAGGTATACTGGCTCCCAATCCCAAATTTCTTTTGGTCCTTATGTGCTTGACTTAGGAAATTTCACTATTCTTGGCTTTCAAACTTTCTACTCTAAGGCCACAACGTTCTAATATAAACTTGGATACACAAAGCCTTCGGTCATATTCAAGGCCCATTTTTTAATTCGATAACACCCTGGTACCTGGCTTTCCCAGGAAATTCAAACTTCACCTTGATCAATAAAAGACTGATAAACCATGAGAAGCATAAGTTTATGTCATAAACACTTATCAGTTAATTTAAAACTCCAAAGGCCTTATGATATTTATTGATTCCCCACCCTCTGATTGTTGTAGCCCAAGTAGGATCCAAGGCAACTGTTCAGGAGATGACACTGGAGAAAAAAAAAACAAAACCCAACAGGAAATACTGAATGAACTTCGCTAAGGAAACATTTTTCTCCTCAGGGTCTCTAACAAACGAAATAACATTTTTTTTTTCCCAGCATCAAATTTTACTTAATTTTTTAAGAAGCTAGGCAGAGCTATTGAGATCAAACCTGGCATTAATGGGCTAATGGAAACTCAGGCTTAACACAATGAGTACTTCCTTGGATTTTCTTTCCTAGTTGGGGGATGTGGAGGACAGTGGGGAGTCAGTAAGAAATAAACAAAGAAAAAAAAAATCAAAACTGACAGAGGGTTATGTTTGTATTTCTAGTGTAAATGTCAGCAAATAGATTTTTTTGTGCTCTCTGCAAATCCAACCCATTCTTCATTGCTTACATAAATACCTCCTCCTTTCTAGCTTTAGTTGACCATTCCATTGAGCTCCGATGTCAGAGACAAGTTCAAGAATTTTATAGTTGAATGGAAACGTAAACATCAACTAATGTTAAACACTTTTATTTTCTAGTTGGGAAACTTACATAAGTTTGTACCAGAGTTAAAACTAGAATTTATGTCTACTGATTTCCAAATTAATCTCATTTTCACCATATAGTGCTGTCTCTTTCACCTTTGAACTCCTTTAGTATATATAGAAGGTGGACTATATTATCTTTGATTCTTTTCTAGAACTCCTGGTACAATCTGCCCATATAGTAAATCCTTGAAGCACCTTTAATAACTTTACCCCACCTAGGCCTTCTCAAAATAATGGAATTTTTTTTACATGGCTTTGTGTAATGGAAATTATTTTCAGTCTCTGCCTTGTTTAACACTCTTGTTTGCAAGTATTAGAAGCCCACTCAAGCTCTATTTAGCCAAAAAAAGAAAGGAAAGGAACATTTTAGTTCAAAAAATTGTTGGGCGGGGGGTGTTTCATGGAATTTAAGGTCATGGATGTAGCTGGTCCTCAATCACAGCTAGAATCAAATACTCAGGCACAAAGGAAGCCTCTCATGTGCCTGCCTGCTTGTTCTCTCTGTAGATGGACCTTCTTTGCGTCTTAGCTTAAGAGGCAAGATGGAAGACAGTCTATTCATATCGTAAAGGTTATCTTTTTTATTCAGAAGACCAGCTCAGATAGAGCTAGAATTTTAGTCCAAATTCCAAGAAGACAGAATTTGATTGGCTTAACTTGAGTAAGATACTCTACCCCTATCCCATTCAATTTGATCCATATGGTACACACATAGCTGCTAAGTTTCCACAAAGTCAGCTACAGGGTTGTTGTGATCTAGAAATCAACACAAATAGCTTCTACTAAAACAATTGTTTCATAATATAACTTCTACTACACCAAAGGTTTCATAAACGTTATTCTTCACAACAATCCTATGGGATAGATATTACTCTCCCTATTTTAACATTCACACAACTGATTCTCTGTGAGGTAAAGTGATTTGCCTAAAGCCACATAACTAGGAAGAGTAAAGCTGCCTGACTCTAGAGCATGTGTTCTTAATCACTACAAAAAAAAGCCTCTGGATGGAAGGAATAGGATGGAAAAGTCCTGTCAATTGTACAAGATATAACCAAAAAAAAAAAAGAAAAAAAAAAAAAAAAAAAAAAAACCTGTCAAGTTGATTCCGACTCACAGCGGCCCTATAGGACAGAGTAGAACTGCCCCATAGAATTTTCCAAGGAGCGGCTGGTGGATTTGAACTGCTGACCTTTTGGTTAGCCAGGCTCTTAACCACTATGCCACCAGGGCTCCTTAATCACTACATCCAGGTGCTATTCAGATGCTTTTTCCCCTTACAGCTTAAGCACAGGTATTTTTGTATACTAACAATAAAGCCAGGAAACAACGGATAATTACCAGTGAAAGAGAAAAAGTCACATTATAAGAGGGAAATGTTTTATTAATAAAGTAAAAGGAGATTAAATGCCAAAGTATTGCTGGAGAAATGTAGTGGTCTTTGGGAGATTTTTCCAAATAAATGCAACAAAAATAAACAACATTGAGCCTTAATCAGGCAATGGTAGATGACCTATGTTGGAAGAAATAATACTCATCTTTTAAACAGCCTATTGGGGAGCACAAATAAGAGTTGGAGAATGGACTATTTCCAAATCTGAACAAAGACATTTATAGACGAATCTGCAAGCCCCTTGCAATAGGCAGAAATCCTTCAACTTTACCAAGGTGTTATAATCATCTCAAGAGAAATTCAGAAGTTACTCTAGATTAATAGGACTGATTTCCAAGTGAAGTG